CATAGGCCGCACCAGGGGGCTAGGGAAAAGGATGACCTAGAAGCATGGATTCGAAGAGGATAGGCACATGTACAAGAAACATGGCATAGACCGGGAGGCTAATCTTGAGCTCCAAGTGAAGGCTGTAGTTGCAAAGGTGCTGGAGGAGCAAGGACTGTCTACGGAGCCACGCACATTAATGACACCGCCCGGAGAACTGGCATTAGTGGGTAGCCCTCCGAAAGTTCCTAGCAGCCAAGGTTCCACTACAGCCACAACCCCCGTCGATCGCATACGGGAACCAACTAGTTGCACCTTGGTATTTCTCAGTGGCCGGCAGAACATTGTGATGGAGGTGGCAACAGGTGTGGCATATCCTCCCGGCGGCTTACACCACAATAATAAGATACCGCTGGACTAGACTAGGGTCGAGGTGCATACCGTGAAGCCCGAGTTCATGCAGTGGAGGATAGACTACGCAACTCCCAAGGGGCTAGTGTTACTCAGAGACGTAATGGGGCAGTTCATCCTCTAGTACAAATAGGACATTATATTGACTGCTTCTTCACTGCCTCCTCCTCTCTCAAATTTGGAGCGAGTTGTTGAGGACAGGGAGATATTTTCACCATCTCATAACCACCACATTCCTGAGATGCCACATTCTTCCCCTCCTCCTAGCGATCATATGCCTGATAAGCCACAACCTTCTCTAGCTTGTACCGAGCAAGTGCATGATGAGATGTCACAGTCTTCTCAACAAGCACAGCCGATACATGAACAACGAGTGCCTCCTGAAGAAGATGATGCACAAGAAGATGAGGACGTGCCTGAATGGGAACTTCAAAAGAAGCATCCAATCATCATAAGACCAATTTATGTTTCGATGAAAGATGTCTCGTCAGTGCACAAGTGGTATTCCCATGACCAGTTCAAGCCTGAGAATCAAGTTAAAAAAAGTCCCATCACGGGCTTCTGAGGAGGCCGTCACTAGCAAACTATGTGCGGTAAGTGTAACTTACTTTAGTACTCCATTACATGGCTGTCAAAAGCATTACTTAACATTTTCATATGCAAAACACACAGTGCCCCAAGTAGAAGCCTAGGAGTGTACATTGTGGATACTATGTATGTTCTATGATAAGTAACACCGTTGCCTACAGAAGACACCTCTTAAGGGTAAGTTTGAACCTTTTCACCTGTAGTATAAAAACTTTGCACATGGTATGAAATACTAAACCAAAACTTGTTCTCTTGTAGTGGAAAGAAGAGAAAGAAATGTAAAGAGACCCATACAAGGATGACCAACTCTTAGAGCTCGTCAGCGACCTTTGCAACTTCATATTGGACCAGATTGTACACGTCAAAGGCACCTACCATGACCGAAATTCTGACTTAGGTAGAAATCCTCAGTACCAACACCTTCGTGAGACTGAAAGGCTAGCTCTAGGCTATTGATAACAATTTGTATGGAATTTGAAATTGGTCTTACCTTGTGGGACACCTACGCCGAGCGCCATAGCCCCATTAACCCAATGCACCATGTGCCAGAGAGAGGGGAGGGAGAAATGGAACGAATTAGACTTGTGAATTATGTCTATTTAATGATGGATTGTATATATTCTTGTGAATTGGACTTGTAATTATAGTTTATATAATACTCTTGTGCTTGTGGTCAGATTTGAATAATATATGTTCTAGTCATATTTGAATTATATATATATATATATATTCTGGTCGAATTTGAATTGTAAATTTGAATTTTTTATGGAAAAATGTACTGTAGGGGCGGTTCTAGACTGAACCGCCCCTACAAATAGGTATTATAGGGGCGGCTGGTACTACAGCCGCCCCTACAAATCGATTTTGTAGACCAGCCGTCCCTACAAATCAATTTGTAGGGGCGGTCTGGGAACCACCCCTACAAATCGGCGATTTGTAGCCATGCTTTGGTAGGGGCGGCTGGCCAAACCGCCCCTACAAATGCCCATGAGCCGCCCCTACAAATGATATCTGTAGTAGTGAAAAAAATAATAAAGGAATTTATTAGTTGTTCATCTTAAAATTTTAGCTTTTGCAATAATAACCATTTTCTGAATTGGTCGACGCTTGTTGTGGGGGCGCTGATGTTGATATTTTGGGCACCATTAGTTTACTTCAGAGGTTGACCATAATGAGGCTATGTAACCATTGTTGTGGAGGCGCTGATGTTGACATCATAGACGAATGTAATTAGGGACTACCTATTATTCTAAAAAATTGTCCACATGAATGTTTCCGTTCCAGTGCCTTAGCTATATAAATTTAATAACTGGTGCAAACATACTACTAAACCATCAACATGTTTTTGGAAAAAGAACAACAAAGCAAGTAGCTAGCGATACCTAAAGCAAGTATGCCGGATCAAAATTTTCATATCCAAAATGGTAAAACCCATCTAACAATTTGGTAAAGTACCGTAAAAATTGCCTCATAATTCAATATACAAATACTAAATAGCATAATAATAAGTCTTAAATTACAATACAATTTGTTCAAACAACATACTAATAGTTCGAAATATGCAATATAGAAGCTTAAAGAGGATATAGAATTACATCACTACTATTTGGGCGTACTCTTTCTAATGGCTATGAAAGTCTTAATTATGTCATCTTCATCCACTTCATAAAAAATGTCTCTCTCAATGAATGACACAAGGCAATCATCCAAAAGACTGATCATTTTATTTCTGGACTTGGTTTCGACTAAATTTATTGTAGAAAATGCCCTCTCAACACTTGTTGTCGCCACTGATAGAAGCAATACCAATTTCAGAAGCAAGTAAACCAAATCATAAACTTTATGTATATTTGTTTCCACTAGCTTAACTAAGAGGTCAACAAGGTTTTCTAGACCATTCAATCTATCATCTTATCTCATGACATTAATATAGTAATCAAGTTGCAATTCAAGCTTTAGGAAATCAGAGCCAAATATGTCCTTACAGGAAAACTCAACAATTATGCTTACCTTCTGTGCGTCAAAGGATGCAAATGATTTGGTAGGATTGAAGCCTTGAGGGCCGACATATAAGAAAGCAACTCCATATTACTCTCATGAAATCAATTATCAAAGCTCTTGGCTAATTTTATCAATGACTCCAATATATACTTCTCTTCTGAAGTGATCATCATTTGTTAGATTTTGGGCAAACCGTCTTCATCTTCCATAAGGCACATCATCACCTTCCATAGCAAGAACTTGAACACCATGTTTATTGCAAAATAAAGTGACCTTTTCAAGGAACTTTTTCCTTCCATTAGTCCACATCAAGTGTTGCATTGTTTTCTTTGCCACACTAACAAGTTGGTTTCCATGAATATTATCATGCTCCCTCCTTTGCAAATGCTCAAACAATTCATTTGTGTATCCAAGAATAACAAACAATAAGTGTGCACTTAAAACAAAATCGAAGGACTTAAATGCCCCAATCATAAAATGCTCCTTTGTCCAATCACGCTTATATGTTGTATCCTCTCCAAGAGTGATGAGTACATCATGGATAGTGGGGATGTATAGCAATGATGTTGCATACAATTTGTAATGAGAGCCCTACCCAGTATCACCAGGCCTAGGCAATGTCATCTCTTGATTTAATACACTCCTAGTTTCAAGTTCCCCACAATTAAGTGCCTTCATGATATTCACAAGTCTAGCATTTCAAAGCATGCCATGACATTTACAAGACAATCCAGTAATATTTAGCAAAAGGGATATTTGTTCTAGAAAACATACACAATTAATATTGTTCTTTGGGTTAGAGATTTTGGGGATCTTGCAAGGAATAGGAGAATGGAAGGGAGAACAAGTTTTCAGTTCTCACCATGTCACCATTATTTCTGTTGCCACCCGTTGGGAGAGGATGGCATGGGCTGCGGCCTAGGGACAAGCCGACACTGGTGAGGCCACTAGCTGGAGATGCGGCATAGCCATGCAGGATTGTGCGGGCTGGGAGCACTGGGTGCTGAAAGCCATGGGGGATCCTGTCGGTGAGGCTAGGTTTGGGGATGAATATCCATTTATGCTGCACCACTCTTGTTATGATCTGTCTACCCGAGGCCGTTCGCATCACGGCGAGACTCCATGTAACTCTATGTGATGTAGATGCATATGCCGTTGAATTTTCATTTCTTATCTTTTAGTACTGCCTTGTGTGCAACTTCCCACCAATCAACAATGGAGGTGTGAATAGGAACATGGAGATTTGGATGTAGAGAGAATTGTGCCCACGCTAGCTAGCACCTGCCTCCAAGCTTATGCCATGAAAGGGCAACTCAGACATTAAGTGAAGACCTATTTGCTGTTGACCTTTTTTTCTCTTGTTGCCAGATTTTCAATCCTTAGGATTTGGTCTTGGACAAGGGTCCAAGCGAAGAGCTTGCATTTGTTTTGTGCCTATGCTTTCCAAATCAAGTTTCTACTGAATGGCTTGAAATGTGTTTATTTTTCCTACTCTTGCCATCGCATTCTATACTACAAATGACATTATATTGCTTCTTAATTATTGGCATTTTCTTTTACAGTTGACTAGACTGAAATGTGGTGGATTTGTGGGTGGATTCCACATGTGTCATAACATGGCTGATGGTTTTGGTATGATTCAACTCATGAAAACTATAGCTGAATTGGCATGTGTTGCAGTGGCCCCAAGCATTCTTCCCGTATGGAAAAGAGAGCTTCTAAGTAGTACAACAACACATAGCCCAACCCCCATTGTATACCCCAACGCTTCATATGAACCATTACAACTAAATAGCTTGGACTCTACATGTGACGATGTGATGCTGTCAACTCCGCTCAATGAAATGGTAGTCGACTACTTCATCTTTGGGCCAAGGGAGATGGCAACTCTAGAAAACCACATAAGGGGATACCACGCCCACTCAGCAACATCCTTTTAACTGATAACTGCTATGATGTGGTGATGTCGCACTATTGCTCTGGGATACAAGTCAAATCAGACAGTGCACCTTATGATCACCATGAATGCCTGTGGGAGGTGGAACCACCATACCCCCATCCCATGGGGTTACTACGGCAATGCACATTTCTCTCCTGTAGCACAAGTAACAGTCGATGAGCTCGGCAGACAGCTGCTCATCGACATGGTTGAGCTTGTGCGCCAAACAAAGCTCAGTGTGACAGCAAAGGAGTGCATGGAATCCATGTTGGAGACAATGGCATCCACGCGGAACAGACTTTGTGAAGATCCAACAAGAACATACGAGGTCTCTAACACAAAATGGATTGCAGTAGGGAATGGTTTGCAGCTTGGGTGGGCTGAGTTTGTGGGTGGTGGCATACAAGTGGCTGGTGACATTACTTCCAAGATAGGAAGCGATCATATGAGGTGCAAGAACCAAGACGGGGAGGACTCAACGGTGGTGTCACTGCTATTGCCAAGGTCAGCAATGGAGAGGTTCAAGAAGGAGATGGCTGTTTGGCTGAACAAACATGATGAGAAGAGTTTAATTATAGAGAGTTCCCTCTAGCGGCAAGCAAGGTCTATGCAAGTATTGGTTGTATGTCATTCTAAGAAGGATGTGTGCTGTACTGAAACAATTTCAAGTTATGCTCTCAATTTTAATTTTTGTAAGGCCCAAACTGTTGGATTTTGTCACTCTTGTAATTTTACTAGGTAGAAATAGTTGGATTTTTATTCTTTGATTTTTTAATAAAGGAAGTTTTTATTAAATTTCATGCAATTTACCTCGAGATGATATAAAATCTTGAAAAACACTTTCGGCCTCTACCTAAACAAGGATATAACCAACAAAAAAAGACCAATATATATATTCTTGTGGCTATCAATTTACAAACTAGATTACCACTCATGTGTCTAGGAAAAAATAACCTTTGACCGCCTATCCCAATTATTGTGACAACGCCACAAGATGGTGCACATGCCTCATGGCATTTGATGCGTCTTCTAGCAAGCATTGAAGTCCAATGGTTTGGTGTGATGTTGTGTGATCGTTCAACATATTGGTGAAATCTTGCCTCCTTCCTGGGTCTTCATTGGTTTCGTAGTCTTCTTCCAAGCAATATTGCATAGCACAATCCGCCACCAAATCCAAATATGTCGCTACCGCTAGGTGCTGCTCCCATCTTTTATAGATGATCGCCACCTTCAAAGACTTTGGCCCATCCTTTGATAGAGTTCCCCTACTTTGTGATAGCACCAGCACTATTAGTGTGGTAAAGAACTCAATTCTTCACTCCAAAAGCAGACACATAGATGTTCACTTTCATTTTCGGTGAGATCATTATGAGAAGAGCGATATTAACCTTTGCGACGATGACACCTAGCACCAACTTGCAGATGTCCTAACCAAACCCCTAGACCAAGCCACCTTTGCTCGCTTGCGGGGGATTTGGGTGTTTGCTTCCCTTTTTCCTTGCCTTATTGTATCATACCTTGCATTGCATCTCATCATGTATATTTGTGCATCCAAGAGCTTCACCTATATATACTTCAGAATGTGTAGATGCAATTAGTGATGTGTATCTTTGTGTAGTACATGTATGATGTGTATCTCATCATGTATATGTATCATTTTTTGTGTCGCAACTACATGACTTGTGCTTAATTCTAATGATTTTTTATGAACTTATGCTCACTCAAGAACTGTTGTGAATTTATGCTTCATGTTATATCCACTACGGTCACTTACTTCATGTTGTTTGCCAAAGAAGTGAACACTTAGTTGTAAGAAGTTGACTTAAGGATAAAAAACAACAAGGCTTGGATTGATATATGGGTGTTTGTAATGATCTCAGGATAAGACTATTCACCTCGTTTAATCATGTTTGCACTTGTTGTTTGTCTAGCTCTACATGTTCTTTGTGCTATTTCAGTAGTGAAATTTTCTAAAGACTAATTACAATTTGCTCAAAATGCTTTGCTAGGTGGCATGTATCATATGATCATCTTGATCATTTGCTAGCACTTGGCTTTATTGAAATACTCACATGATCTTATCACTTTCAACATCTCCTCATTCTTTATGATCTACTCTTGACACTCTTTCATTCTGCACCCCAATGCATTTCATGGCACATTTTGAGGGGAAGTTGCATGCTGTTTTATATTTATGTGTGCATGTGTCAACAAGGGGGAGAATGTTTACACAAAGAGTTGGAATGTGTGGTGAGTGTCCATTCATTTAGGAGAGTGCATTTGTTAAGGGGGATTTGCAAGACCGAGTTCGATGACTTTGCTAGTTGTGTAAGCATTTGCCTCTTCTGGAGGGAGTAGCTCTTATTCCTGGAAGCTTTGAGTTGCTTTGGTCTTGTACTATTGGTGTTGAGCTCTTTCTGCCTATTCTCAAGGACTAGCTATCTATTGCTTGGTTGTGCTGAGCCTTTGCCCATGTCTTTGGGAACCAAGCTTTGCTTCTTCTCGGTTGCGTCTAGTCATTGCCCATGTCTTTGGTGACCTAGTTTTCTCATTTCAAGTGATCTTTCTTTGCACTTTTTCTCGGGTTTTTGTCATTTGGATGAGTTCGAACCTATTCCTTTTCTTTTGATTCATCTTGTTGTGTTGGTGTTGATAATGAACTCATCTAGGGGAAGATGGCAAACACTTGGTTGGTATGTGCTCATGTGTTAGTGATTATCTAGGAGGTGATCGGAGCTTTCGTCAAGTGCGCATGAGAGTAACTGAGGCGTGAGTGAGTGTGTGCAACATGTCTCTTAGCTTATGATGTGTAGGTGTTGAACGTGAGACGGTTGATGATAATGATTTCAAGTGAGGAGTCCGTGCGTGATGGACCGGGAGTAGTGAAGGGTGGACGTGAAGGCTTGAACTGAGGGCCAGAGGATGGACCGTGGACGACTAGCACTTGGACACATTGACAAGAAAGTGTACATGCGAGGATGCTAGCGAAGATGATGTTGACCGAAGTCAAGATGGGGACTAGACCAAGGCGAGGAGAGTGTAAAAGCACTTAGTGTATTAGCGGTCAAGGAGGAGTGGGACACGTGTCGACATCATGGAGAAGAGTAGCAGCTATGTGACTCCAAGAGGGTTTGGCAGTTTCAGCCTCAAAACCATGCATAACAGGTTTGCAATTTTGGGGACCAGAACCCGGGGAAGATTTTGGGGTGGCACATGGCGTCATCGGAGAGCTTGTGTCCAAGCAAAGCGACTTCATGAAGGGCCCGCGGCTGTTTGATGCACTAAACAAATTGGACCATTCCACCCCCAATGGTAGTTGATTCAAATTTAATCTTAGGGGCAATCTTCAAAATGTGTAATAGCCCTACAAATAATGATAGTGGCTGCCTAGGACAACCATCTCTTCCACCCCCATTATTATTTACTTAGGGTTTAGCGAAGGGCTTCATGTTTTAGACAGATTAGGCTAGGGAGGGGCGATTTCCTCTTAGGTTAGTTTCCCAGCTGAAATGGGAGGATGTTTGGGAGGAGGCTAGCCTGATGTATAGATTAATTAATGGTTTGGTAATCAAAGTGTTTGCTAAAATCTCGAGTTCATCCTTTTCCTCCCCCAAATTTCTCATTTTCGGTGATTTTCGTGGTCATTTTTTGGTGATTTTCGTGCTGCCAGTTTGGCATAGTCTTTGGCACATTTTGGGAGTCTTTGGGATCCTTAGAACATATCTAAATTCTAAACCATGTCTTGAAGCCCAACTTCTAATCTCTTGGTTCTAAACCCCAAAACTCACCTTTTCAAGACTCTTTTGGTGATTTTCTTGGAGATCTTTGAGCTAGGTTTTTTGGTTGATTTCTTGTGCTTCCTAGGTGCCATGAGGTCTTGGGAACAATCTTAGGATTCACCTCAACTACATTTTCCACAAGCTCCCCCCATCTCCTCGGTTTCGAGAAAAATGAGAAACCTACAATTGAGAAGGTGTTTTCAAATCTGGTGGTCAAGATTTGATCTTTTGGAGTTGAATTTTCATGTACACCTTCGCATCATCCTTTGGAAGGTGTGTGCAAAATTTCAGCTCATTTGGACTTCGTTTGATTGAGTTGCCTTTTTCTTCTTCGGTTCAACCTGCTGAAATATGAAAAACAGGCTAGGACGGGTTGGCATATAGGCCTAGCCGGATTTCAATATTGTTTGCCTTTTATGTGGTTTTGTGCTCGTGTTTCTTCTGCAATATTTCTAAGCATCTCTGAATAACTCTAAGGTCATCTTGTGACTTGTTGGCATGTGTGATCTGGGTCTGTAGAAGAGGAGCTTCACGAGTTGATTTTGGGATGTAGGCAAAGTTCTTGGATAAGAATTTTTTATTGGCTCTCATTCACCCCCGTCTAGTCACTGTCTCGATCCTTCAAGTGGTGAGGATGAGAGAGAAAATATGTTTTTTATAGTTTTCATTGATTGAAAAAATAGGCAACTCATGCAAGCTTGTACTAGCACTACTACAAAAATAATTTTAGAGTACAACTCCTTTAATTTATAGAGTGTCGGTGTTTTGTAAACTGGACTAGTAAACTTATACGATTGTCACGCTGCTCTAGGAAGACGATGGTAGCATCCAAAAGACATAAGGATTTATACTGGTTTGGGCCAGAGCCCTACATCTAGTCTCAGAGATGATCGAGTGTGTGTTCCTCGCTTGAATGCTCTGAAGTTCTTACAATGGGGGGTGCAAGAATGGTGAAAGAGGTAGGAGAGCTAGAGCTAGGAGATGGACTGCCTAACAGGAAGCCTCAGGAGCCCTACTACGGTGTGAATGTGTTGAAGATGATGATGATCGGAAGAATCCTTGTCCCCATGGAACAAGGCCCTGGCTGCCCTTATATAGAGTTCAGAGCTAGTGCATGTAGAAAAGAAGGAGGTTCTCCTGACTGAGGGGCCGTGAGCCTGAGGGAGGGGCCTAGCTAACTTGGCTTGCAAGCTACGTAGTCTTGTGGTGAACAACTGGGCGTGGTTGTCGTCATGGCCTTGAGCCCACGTCGTGGTAAGGTGTGGCGTGGTGCTACTGTGCCGGCCATGATAGCACTGTTGGCATGGTTGTGGTTCGCCAGCCATCCTGTGCGACATGGTCTCTGTCGTGGCCTTCGTCATCATCTCCTGATGTTGTAGGGGTGCCATACAGGAGTTGGTGGCTGCCCCCAGGTCGTCGAGTAGGTGGCCACGATCTTGAGCTTCAGGGTCGTGGCTCCCGTTGGTTGGGGTGACCTCTAAGTCAAGGCCTCCAACGTGGATCCCATCCCGTCATGGGTAGAGTCGTACATGTGTCTTGTTGGACTATTTTTGGAAGGTGGGTTGCCATACTAGTAGTCACCGCCATGCAGTGTTGTCTTGTCCGTGATGCGTGGTACAGGGATGGCGTCTGATTGGACCGAGGTGATCGATGTCTCCTCTGTCCTTGCGGGGTCAGTGCATCGTGTCTACTCTAGTCAGAGCGGGCACGCCTAGCTGGGATCAACCTCTCCCTATTCCTCTCGGGGGTTGGGACAGTGGAGAGGTCATGAGTCTCTCATGTGTCATGCGGCTAAGGCAGAAGGGAGGGGGCA